GACACAGTTACGATTTTCCAATTGACATTTTTCATATAAACACGTATTTTTCTAAGAAAAACATGTATTAACTCACGAAATTCTTTTTCTAAATAAACATATCAATAATCATGGAATACTAGAAATTTTTTGCCCACTAAAATTGAATAATTCTATAAATAGTAATGTAACTCATTAGTTGCAAAAATAGAATGCAAACTATTGAGTAGTTGCAACGATGCAAATAATACATTATATGAGTGACATGAAAATCAGTCAATATATTGAAGTGTGTCGGTTTCGATCGTTTTTCATTTATAATGAAATAACTTCAAAATTGATTTATTTCTAAAAAGAATACTTTTAACGAGCATTATATTAATGAAAAGATTATAGAGATGAATTTTTTTTCTTCTTGTTAATTTATTTATAGATTAATGTAAGGTCGAAGGCAAAGTAGGCAGGAAAATAAAAGTAAATCAAAATTAATTGAATGCTATAGTATGACTGCTGAAAATGACTTCGCTGAATATGAACAGTTTTAACAATATTATTGTTGAATCGGGGAATTTATTTAATTATCTTTTTTCTTATCGCAGGCATCGATTGCATTACAACTAGATTTGGGATTTAAATCATTCTTCAATTATTTATATATTATTAATTATAAGAAAACAATTGATCTGTTTCATTGAATATCTAATGTGGATAGCATAGAACTTTCTGGGCATCTAAAAATAGAACTTTAGTATGAATTAATCAGATTTATTTTTTCTGGAGGCAAAATGTTTCTAAAGGAGACAGATAAATTCCATTTTGTTTAATAGAAAAAAAGAGCTGCTGCCGGTAACAGAATCTACTCAAGTGATAAGTTACGTTGGAAAATGAATGTTATCTTATTAAATATGTTCTATACAAATTAGATATAGTTTAAAAGAATGATTTGTACTATACATACGTGTTCTTGAATAATAACCTATTTAGTTTATCTTATGACAAAATGTGATTTCTACAATTATATCATTTTTGGAGTTTCTACTTCAAGTTTTATTGAGATAACACTTTTAATAGAACAACTGCAATGTCAAATTTGTCGGATTTTTCAATATCTTCTTTCCTGCCACATTAATAGAAACTGTAATACTGATATCTACGAAAATGGCATATTAGAAAATCAAATACTTTCATAATGGTTTCATTGGCAACTTGGTTTGTACGAATTTTGCACTAAGAAATCTATTTTCAACGTGATGTAAAATAGTCAAAAGATCTTTTTTTTTGTAAATAGTTTATTCAAATAATTATCATTCACGAGAACAGATGCGGGGACAAGAATCTACTCAGTTAGACTTTCTTTACTCTCAATTGTCATTTTCAAGAATAAGGACTTAGTTGATAAGGAAAGAAAACTGTTAATGTTGTCAAAAATATTTTCATTATAAATCCCCTGGTGGGTCAGTTTTGATCTATTCATAGCAACAATATTTTGAGAGCAATTAAAACTCGAATCGACTCGGTTTCATCACATCACTTGAATTCTTTTATAATTCACACAGTTGGAGAAAAAAATTTTTTTTTCATTCTTTCTGAGCTAAGACAAAAAATTGTATTATTCTTCTAAAAATTAAAGCAATTTTTTCCTGTATTTTACTTCATTATATTCACTGACTAATTTCGTGCTTGACAAAATACAATCAAAGACGAGTTCTATTTATACAGCATTTTTGTGAAAAACTCTTAGCTAAAGTATGTAAAACTAACTTCAATCTACGAGAGCACTTTGCTTAGTTTTAATCCATGCGTAATAATTAATATGAAAAGTAATTATTCTCGAGTTATTTTACTTTCAATATAAACTCACAGTGTGATATAATCATCGTAGAACTAAAACTTTTATGAATACAAATAGTCATTCAAAAATGAACCCATAGCTGTTCAATCAAAGAAAACTTATTTATGGATAAAACCTAGAATTCCTCAGTTTCTATTATAGATTTTCATCTTGGTGAGATTTAAAAAAAGAAATGAATGATTTCAATCCAGATTCAGAGCCGAGGACTTCAGCTTAGAGAAATAAAATAAGAAATATTGACTCCGACAATGTACGAGACTTGATATCGAGTCGAAAATAGTCACCGTTGGAAATATTTCACGATTAACATTAAATGAATCAATTTCGTAGTTTCGGACAACGAAAATAAAATGCACTCGCATAGGTTGTTCTATTCATTACTTGAATAAACAACTAGAACATTGTTTTACAGCACAAGAAGTGGATAAAAGACGAGTCAATTGCGATAAGACTCAAAATCTGTCTGAGCATGTTAAGAAGATAGTAACACATGTACGTCGATCTCATCGTGAGATCAAACTCGAAAGAAAATTATAAATATATTCGGATACTCGCGTTAATGGAGCATTTTATACGTTGGAGGTGTTCCTTGGTGTTTATGATGAATTAGCTGGTGTTATAAACAAGGCGTTTATTGCAAATTTAGCTGCAATCGATAAAGAACTATTAGAGGAAGTATGCGTTTTCCTTAAACCTTTTGATCGAGCTATTGTCGAATTAAGTGAAGAAGAAAAACCAACTATGCACAAAGTTATTCCTATTCGGCAGCTATTACTTAATCATTGTGATTTAAAATATGCAGATAGCGATGAACTTAAAGAATTAAAATTTTTCGTTGGTAAGTAGAGTGCATGTACCTAATAAGAACGGGGATTTTTTATGTTCATGCTTCGACTATAATATCTCTGTGAAATAGTGAGCAAATGAGCTGAAATTTTGCATCAAAATAGAAAAAATTCTTTTCTATCTATTGGCGAAAGAATTTTTGAAAAAAGTTGAGAAATGATCGAGTTATGAGCGGTAGTTTGCAGTCACCTGATGCC